AGGTTCAGTTACAGAGTCCACCTACAAAATACTTTGCACATGCTGGAATAAAGCCAAAGGGTCCTACTGAGAAAAAGGAGCAGATATGTGAATATTGCAAGAAACCGAGGCATACAAAGGACACTTGCTGGAAGCTTCATCCTGAGCTTCTTCCAGATAGGTTTAAGAATAACAACAGTTCTAAGAAGGGTAGTCAAGTAGGAAAGCCTAAGACAGCTAATGTTGCTATAGTACCTAAAGGAGGAAATAAGGAGAGTGAAGAAAAATCAACCATTGAGCAGTTGGCAGCAATGAAGGCGGATTTTGAAAAGTATGGGAGGCTGCTAAATCACTTGGAAGCTATTGTTTCTTCATCTCACCCTTCCAGCAACACATCATCATCATCTGCATTTGCTCACTCAGGTATTCGTACTTCTGCAAATCATTCTTCAGTTTTAGGTAATCATAAAATCCCTCGGATTATTGATTCCGGTGCATCAGACCATATGACCAGCCTGTCTAATCTCTTCTGCTCATACCACCTTCTCTCCGGTAAAGAGAAAATATCCCTTGCTGATGGGTCTCTTGCTCCCATTTCTGGTAAAGGGGATATAAAGACCTCTAACATCCTTTATTTATCCTCTGTCCTTCATGTCCCTAAACTTAATACAAACCTTTTATCTGTTAGTAGCTTAACTAAATCCATGAATTGTAGCATAACCTTTTTTCCCACTCATTGTGTTTTTCAGGACCTGCAATCTCAGAGGATGATTGGGAGTGGCCATGAGGCAAACGGAATATACTTGCTGGACACACCGAATAGAGCTTTTGGACCACCTCATGGAGTTGCCTTAGAGTCAGTCTTGTCAGAGTCTATTGACAAAGTCTTGTTATGTCACTTTCGGTTTGATCATTTGTCTTTTTTTGCTTTGAGTCATTTGTTTCCAGATATGTTTAAGGGTGTGTCTTTATCGAGTCTTCATTGTGAGTCGTGTGAACTGGCAAAGTATTGTAGACATCCTTATTCAATAAGCAATAAAAGATCTCTTTCTCCTTTTCATATTGTTCACTCTGATGTGTGGGCCAACTATGGGGGGTTACAGGTACCTTATCCTTTTTATTGATGACTACTCTCGTTAAACCTGGATTTATCTCATGAAATCCAGGGATGAAGTACCAGCTATTGTGCAAAAATTTCATGAACTCATCCTCACCCAGTTTAACAATCGGATCAAAATATTCTATTTTGATAATGCTAAGGAGTATTTTGAGAAAACCCTCTTCGCCTATCTTGAAACTTTTGGGGTTATTCATCAAAGTTCTTGTTCCTACACTCCACAATAGAACAAAGTGGCGGAAAGGAAGAACCAACATGTGGTTGAAGTTGCCAGATCCTTCCTGTTTGCATCCCATGTTCCTATAAAATTTTGGGGAGATGTTGTTCTTATTGCTACCTTTTTGATCAACTGTATGCCCTCCCGGGTTCTTAACTTCAAAACCCCCTTTAGCTTTCTCTTCCCGGATGAGGATCTTTTTTCTCTTCCTCTCCGTGTTTTTGGGTGCACTTGCTATGTACATGTTCACAGCCATCAAAGGCACAAATTTGAACCTAAGGCTCGTAAATGTGTTTTTCTGGGATATGCCTCCACACAGAAAGGATATTGTTGTTTTGATCCAGTTAGTGGCACCCGCTTTGTATCTCGAGATGTCACATTTGCTGAGTTGACTCCTTTCTTTAGTATTTCTCCTAAGGGGGAGAAATCTAAAGAACCCTTTGCTATGTCTCTAGTTGTTCCTCTTCCTATTCCTCTTGAGTCCTCTCATGAGGTGTCCACTTCTCCCACTAGACCTACCTCCAATATTCCTGTTCCTCCTCCTCCTCCACCTCATTCTCCTATAATTCCTCCTCATCCTGTTCTCCAAAGGTGGTACCAAAGGCACAGATTCAAACATGGGCAAGTTGTTTCCACTCCTACAGAAGAGCCTCTTGCTCCTCTCATCATTACTGTCATTATTGAGGTAACAGGTCAGCCTTCCTCTGACCCATCTACATCTTTCCCAGACCTTGACCTTCCTATTGCTCTCCGCAAGGGCAAGCGAAAGTGT